CTAGACCCACAAGAAAACCTTGAACTTGTGGTCGTTAGCCTTTGCCGCTGCCGCTGCCGCTGCCGCTGCCGTCGCCGTCGCCGCCGTTGTAGCTGCTACCATCCGCTTTTACGGTTTCGTCGTTATCGTTACCGCCGTTTATCCTAATGCCGTACCGAACCGAACTGCGTCGTCCAGACCTCAAAGGTATCGCGCCGAGACTAACCTTTGGTCGCGTCGTGTTTCCGTCCGTCGTCACACCGACCCTCCGATTTCTCTGTTTCAGGTACGTTCCGCTGTTCGCTATGCAACAAGATCTTTTGCCACAGCAGCTCTCTGAGTCGACACCGCATGCAGGCGCACTTCAAGAGCTATACGTGCACCCTGTGCAACAAGGAAATCACCAGTAAGCTATACGCGCGACATTCTGGCTCGCTGTTTTGCTCGTTTTCGATCGAATGATCTAAAACAAACCGAATCGACCCCATCGGTCATGACAAGTGATCAGTGTGTATTTTGATGATGTTCACTCATTTAACGCTGCGCAACACCTAGGCAACTACCTAGTATGTAAATTAATTAACTATATACGGAATGTTGGAAACAGATGGTCGCTGTTTGCTTTAATGTGGACGAGTGCGAAGTTGGTGGTCGCATTCAGCACCACCCGAATCGCTTCCTGATCGGTGCCATTTGCGTAGTGTTAAGTAATGACAACAGTAACGTTTTTGGTGGTGCTAATGCGGCAACATTCCGGTGGCTTACGTTCACTTCCGTACCGCACAGGGACCATGCAAGGACAACCGTTGCCACCTACGGGCGGCTGCCATCGCTGCGTAGCGCTGCTCGTGACCCGATTTCTTCAGTTTACTTGTGATCATGGTCAAATGCTTGTCGCTGAAGGCTACCGGCCGTGACGTACGGCCCGGCGTACGCAGCAAGCAGTCGTTTATGGCGTAGTTGTCGCGTCGCGCGACAGCAAAAAACTCAGCTGAAACAACGGCGCACATCACATTGTCGTGCATGCAACCCCATTCATTACGTCACCAGTTGCGTATGTCGTTGCAAATTGCTTAGGTGGTTAGTCTTCTTTGTGCCCTAAGTCCTTAACGGAACAGTGAAACGCAATCAGGCAGCGGTCAATGAATGACACGAACGTCAGGAACTGTTTAGAAAGTCACTCAGTAGGCGCTCTGTGCGACGAGACGCGATGAGGATGCGAAGTCAGACGGTGGCTTCGGTGGCGATCGTATAGCCGCCATCCTCCGTTACCGCCGACCTCGTGGTTTGCACCAGCACCGACCGCGACATATACGTCGCAGTGTTGCCGTCGCTCTCAAATTCGCTTGCTGTGCACCGGTGCTGCTAGTCGCCGCCGCCGCCGCCGCCGCCGCCGCCGCCTTACTACGTAATTATATCACTTCACCGCATTGGTAGAAACACGTTTTTACTAGCTGCCGTAATCAAATTTTAATGCTGTTACTGCCATCCACGAGTTGACTACTGTAGTACTTTTTGAACAACCTGCAACGACGGCACGTCCCGTTTCTTGGAACGGTGATTTTCATCTGCATTTCGCCCCATCCGATCATGTCCAATCCAGTCTTGCTCCATCCTGTCTTGTCTTGTACCGCCTATCAGGAAGCACCGGAATGGCTACGGCTGTCCGCTCATTTGGCGTTTTCCTGTATTGACAGTGTTCATACCGTTTGTCCCCGCCTCTGCCTCGAATCCGTAATGTGAACCAGCCGCTTGCTTGTTGATCGACCACCGTTGACCATGCTCGCACATCGGAAAAGAACTGCCTGTTATCGACAATCTGGTCCAGCAAGTCATTGTGAAAGGTCAGCGCGCGGTATCGAAGAAATCCATCTGTCATCTGTTCTACACCAAAATTAATTGATCAGCACTTGAAAAATGTCCCTCTTATTCACAGCACTTAAACAGCTTTTGTCAGCCAGTAATCTTCGTCACGTCTGTACCTTGCTTTGCGAGGCAGCGGAGCGCATCGCCAAACCTGATCCAGCCGTTAGTTTTCTGGAAACGCCAGTGATGCTTTCAAATACCGTACACGGTGGCGGGCATAAGGCTGCGGCACTGCCCGTCTAGGTCGGAACAGATTTTCGATCTACTCGAAAGTTCATCTTTGATCTGTACCACATGACTTCTCACCCGTGGGACTTGCTCTCGATTGTATCGTGATCATAGTCGCCAGATGCCTGCATACAAGTCTGCAGGACAGTCAAGAATCCGTTGCAGGGGTAGGAGAAGAACCTTTCTGAGATCTCTATTGTGGTTACCCTGTTCACCCGGGCTGGCCGGCCAAGAACGCATATTCTACGGTTTCAGCTGTTAAAGTTTTCATGTTGTCAGATTTTCAATGACTGCAGCAATGACGCTTCGCTATATTCAGTCGAATCAGATCCCCAAATTCTTAGAAAAGACATTGCCGTTGCTTTAATGCGTATGGGCAATCCAAGAAACTGGCTATACACGTCTGTGGGCGTTCCTTGAATCTGTGCGTATACCTATGCTCATCTAAGTCTTAGCAATCTGGGACGCAACCATTATCAACCCGGGAAACATTATAACACGACGCTATCACCATAGCTAGCCTCAAGAATGCATTTGGATGACTGCTAGTACGAGTCTGATTCGCCGGCATGCTTGTATGGAACTACGCTAAGAAACGACAGAGTTTCATGGTAATTCTTGTCCAAGTTGAAAAGTCGAAAATCTTCTAGCAAACTCGCTCAGAGATAAAGTGAAGACGCTAAGGAATAGTAATTGGAATTGCACCCTCACGCCGTTTACTACGGTACAACTCCATCAACAAACAGTCTTCCTGTTAAAGATCAACAAGAATGTGGAAAGAAGACCGTCTTTATATTCCACTCAGTCCATAAAAATCAGGTTGCTGCTTAATGAAAAAGGATTAAATATTCATTATAAAATATACAAATATCGCAATCAGCAAATGTGTCCGAAAATGGAATAGGAAATGTGATGCGAGACTAGATAGAGTACAGTGAGGAGAACTAAAGGGCGTCAGGGCGTCGTGAAACGACTTTGTCAACTACAACTGTTGAATATTCAACCTCCAAGGATCCAACTCGACAGCAGAAACAGCATAAGTCAAGCGTAAGACGCTGAGAAGAACAGCTCTGGATCGTTTAGTCGAGCACATCTAGCATTTCGACTGCCCAATGCATGCATCACATATCGAACAGCCATTCTCTGTCACTCTTCTCTTGTTTTACACGCGCTATCATGATCTTTTCGAGGTAAGTCCACGAACCAGATACTGAGGAAGGTTATTTATTCAAATCCAGGAGTACCCATGGGAGTACCATCCCCAGATTTGACCTGATCAACAAATGGTTAGACAGTTTGATATGCAAAGTCATTGCGGGATCAACAGTGGTCGCGTACTCCTTAGTTCTGAAGTAAACAATTTGCAGTAAATATTTGGAATATAATTTTAAACCAGTGGCCAGATTCCGACGAAACTATTCTGGAAGAATTCTTACTACCCAGTAAAGTACTAACAGCACTTTGGGAATACTGACGTTATCAAGAAACTGACTTTAAATTTAACAGTACTTGGGTCAGCGACCACAGCAGCAGTTCTTCAGAGTACTGTTTTAGCTAAAAGTATCAACCTGTTCTCAAACAGCAATCTGTAATCTCACAAATACGTGACATAAAACGCGTGCTGACACAATCAAGAATGAATGAATTGATCCACTAGCAACGACATTGCAGAGTTTTTTTTAGCGATGTTCAGGTCTTTGCCGTCGTAAATGCTGCATATTTACGCTGGCTATAATTACTTTACTGTGATCACAAAAAGGCAAAAACTCAGAAGTACATAAGCGGATAGTGTAAGTTTCTGCTGTGCAAAATTAAGACACGTCGATATAATGTAGATCAGTGACGCACAGGTGCTGACCAAGGTTCCATGTTACCTGGTCTAGTCATTTGGTTGATCAGTGCTCTAATGACTCGCTGTCTGAACGACAGTCATTCTTCTATCCGGCTTGGTTTCGCTAGCGGCTGCACCACAGATGCTAGTCGACGTTCCGCAATGGTGATGTCCTTTGCTTCCACCGTTAGCCGAACGGCTTCATCACTGAATCGTCCCAGAGTGCAGTGTTGATCGAAGAGCGAATGACGTCTCTTGCCGAGAGGGATCCAGTTGGTAACTCGGGATGTCCACTTGTTGTCCTTCAGACGAGTCACATCGCCGGCACACCGTTTCTTTGAATTATAGGCTGTAGTGAGTACATTCAAAAATTGTTTTCGACATTGAATCATCCGTCTTAACTACACTCATACGGTAGGTAAAATGATGAAGATGGACATGATATGAATTAAATTAGTACTGAGTTATTGGATAAAAGACAGGTTGGTTTGGCCGCCGGCTGACGGTTGGGGCTGACTTCTGAAATAGCATTTTCCCTGGTCACAATATTGAAAGTATTGAAAATACTGTCATTAATTGGGCGTTAGTAAGCGGCGATCAACGTTTGGCAACAGTAAGGTGTCATGGAAGTGCAGGTAGCGTCAAGTTCCTACTTCGATTCGTTTGTCGCACATCTGTCCCATTCATTTCGACGTTTCTGCTAAGTCAATAATTTAAGGAACTTTTGAGCGTCGGTTTAGATTCGCTCTTAACCGGATACAATCCTTACCGACAGCGGTCTTAAAATAAGTACGTTACGTTCTAAACCCAGCTAAACGAGGATTTATTCATCGCTGAGGTCAGTAGTGTTTTATGAATGAAGTGTCTTGTACTTGCCACATTCCACTGTTTTGTATTTGGTGGATCAACTAATCTGAACCTTATTCTAAACGTTTGCCAAAGTTCCACGAATGCTTTTTTTTATCATTGAACATATCTTACATTGAAACGTTGCCATTTCTGTATGTACCTTCGTTCGTCTCTGCGTAGAGCTTTTCGCATCCACGGAGACCTACTCCAACGAGAGGATAGGGGCCAAATACTTTCCCACTGTACACCGACTCAGATAATCGCGTTACATTTCATAAATATTAACGTGTTTCCACCTACAGTTATGATTGAAGCATACGGTATTAGCGGTGAATTTGAGTCCATTGTGCTACATACATTCACCATCAATCGCAAGGGTAGCGAAAACAGATTTAATTAAAATTTTGAGGGTTCTTTGTATTTAATAGGAGTATAAGATATTAAATAGCTCATGCAGAGCAAGAGTCAGTGAAACAAACCTCAGCAAACAGCAGCGACTGAATCTAAATTAAGACGTAATCCCCAATGCAGCCTTTTTTATTACAAGTCGTGAATGATAGGATTGCAGCATCGACCGAAGCAAACTACTGACATGACAGTGAATATATCATATTCATGTAGAATACGACGTAAATG